TGCAGAAACATGGATTAGTCTGTTATGGAGGAGCTACATCTATACCAGGCTCTATTCCGTTTGTATCAAAGTCTGAATGACTTTTATTTTGAAATATTGCCAGATTATCATCAAATAAATAAAGTAAATGGAAAAAAAAAATTTTGAATGAAGTTAATTAGATTTTTTTTTTCATTTTTTCACTGTGTTCCACTGCGGGCAGGTACCAAATGACCTACGGACTGGTACTGGTCCGCGAACCAGGGGTTGGGGACCCCTGATGTATACAGTCATCCATTTAAAACCGGCCATTCAACAGGAACTGTATTGCTGATGTGGCCCCCGGTGAAAATGACATCCTCATATTCCTCCGGGGCCAGGACCACATTTATTACATGTCTGACTTTAAGTGAAGCAAACATATTTAAATGTTATCCCTTTAAAACTCGTTTCGATGGTGATCTGCTTTAGGTGTTGGGTTCCAACGCTTCTTTCTGATGTCACCTCATCAGATTTCTTCAATTGGTCCTCCACCCAAGCACGGTTTCATTCTATTTGACAAGAATTCCATGCGTTTTACATTTACATTTTAGAAAAAAAAAAAAAATTTTAAACTGACACAGATGCACGTTTGACAGAACATCAGAATAAAAAATTTCCCAGTCACCTTAGCTAATGTCTTTTCCTGATGGCACATTCATCTCACTTGGCAGTTGACTTCGATTCTCCACACATACAGCCAATAGTTCATTTTAGCCAAATTCACTGATGTGCCACTGTGAAATGTTACAGTCAATGTTTGTGATGTTCACTCAAACATTTGGTATTATACGAGTGCCTCAATAAGTTCAAAACCTTGTCATACCTTCCATACAAGCAAACAATGACCAAGGCACCAGCAGTAGGTTTTTTTTGTTTTTTTTTTAGAAGCACTGGTTTAGAAATTGCCTGTTTAAGTTACAGGCCCAGAGGAGTTGCTTATTAAATCAAAAAGATAGATAGCTTTTTAAACAGAGCATTATACTGGCTGTCACAAGTGGAGTTCCGGAATTAAAACATATTACTAAAATTGAAACAAGCCTAAATAGGTGGCAAAGATTCAGGCCTTCTTGGAATTTATTCCAGATGTAAATCAATTTATTCCAAATCTAAATCAATTAATCCAAATATATAATCTATGTACAGCTAAGTCTCAACCCAGTAGGGTTAAACAACAATATTACAGACAAAAAATGACTGGCTTTATCACTGCTGCGCGAGTACATGCAAAGTTTTTAAGAGGTACAAGTCTATTCCAATTCCTTTATCTTAAGGGGTAAAGTCCAAGGCATTTCTTGATTGTAGCTTTCATTGTACTGATCAAATGGTTTAAACAAGTAACTCTTCCATGACCTCACAGACTTACGACTACTTGTTGCACATAAAATAAGTTTGTTTTTCTATACTTCTATAGCCATTTGCCCATATCACAACAACAACACCTAGGAAAGAAAATAGGAAAAGAGAAAATATTTGCTGTGACACAAAAGCAATGTTAACTGTGCCGCTAGCATTTTTAACGCGAGTAAAAAACAGAGCAGATATGATTTTTTTCAATACACTTGATAACTGTGTCACACAGTATCCAAAAGCCTGTCTATTTTTTTCAAAAAGCTAATACGAAACAATAGGAAAACAACAGTGGAACAATATGATATGAAAAAAATGTAAATAACAAAACCTAATATGATTATGGTATATTTGAGGTGACAATTTCAATATTATTTTTAGATGATGTTTGCATAAACTGCATTGCACATCATAAATGGGCTCTATGGCTTGTTTTTTTTTTTTTTAAGACAATAAGGAAACTTGGGCCAAACCATAAAGGTGTGGTCTGCTATCTGGTGGACGTGCAATATCGCAATGCAAAATATGGCTTGTAACAAATAGGGAAACTAGCAGTAATGACCTATTTCTAAAAGATTAAAATCAGTCAATCACAAATTTTAAAGTTAGAGACAAAACATATCACACAGCACCTACAATGGCCTTGAAAAAAATACTTAGGAATTCCACAAATATACTACCCATGTGGGCAGGGGGGCTTGGAATTTTCAAGCAACTGTTGCCATAACGCAATTTATTATTCCGAAAAAAAAAAAACAGTTTCTCTAACAGAGCACACAAGCAGAAAAGTGAAGAAATCTAATAGGAACACTCTGTCCAGGCCTTTCTACTCGTATCCTGCTGTTAACCTCTCGTGCTATCAGTAAACATCCGTCCACAATACCCTCATTCCTGTTATATACAGAGAGTCACACAAAGAAGTTGGCAAAACAATAACCATCACTGTAGTTTATTCCCACCCTGTTGGTTCTATTGGTTTGGGAACATTGTTATTCAGTGATATTGACTGTAGAAAACTAAGGAATCCTCGCATGTAGGCCTTTGTATTGCAGTAAAATAAAGCACGACCTGGTACCTGTTTCACAATTATGACACCGACACCAAGTCTGCATGTTTTGTGTTGTGTCTGGGCGAGCTCAGTCAGGGAGTTTCAAGTGTCAACATAGGGAAATGTCAGGATGAAATCATCTCTTGGCACTCTTAAGCACCGAACACCTCTCCTTAAAGGCCAGGGCATTCTGGCATTGTCTCAGGGCCAGATGTCAGCCCTGGAAGCAAAATATACCGAGGGCACAACTGATTGACCATATGTCCGTGGTTGACGGGAGGACAAAAGGCAAATTCTTGCTTACTTTCAAAGGGCTTAGGTTTCAGCATGTTCGACATTGACGCGCAAATGCGCAAAACGTCATTTTGTTTTTATTTCTTTGATTTCTGTGATGTCATTATCTATTATTTTTTTGGTCCACAGACTTGGTTGGGCCGTACCTCGGGTCTCTGTCTCTTTCAGGGTTTTAGAGCACACAAGCAGGCCAGGCAGACATGCTCCTGCAGCGAGCTGGGCCT